ATTTTTGGTCATTCTTTATTTCTAGGTAGTATTTTTTAAACAAAAGCGATTCCATTTCGCAGGGTCTTAGACGAGGCCAGCAAAAAGGTTATCACACAAGGCCTCTTGATTCAGAAGGTTTAAAACTTCAATATAGTTTACGTAATATACAAAATCATTAATTATTTGATTAATGATTCTTATCTTAGTATTTTTTTAAATACAAACATTAAATAGTACTCCCTTTGTTCCCATAATTTTGTTCCGTTTTATCTTTTTCATCCTTTCCATTAGGTTTGTCTCATACCATATTTGGTAATATGTAGATATTTACAATTCATTCTTACTTTATTCAAACTTTATCGATATCAATCACACAATTCAACTTTTTCTTAAAAGTTGTGCCACATCCCTTTGTCTCAAACATAATGGGACGAAGGTAGTAATACTTAAGTAATTAAAAAGCAATTGTTAATTACAATTGTGCAATTTCTTTATCGCATAAGGCCTAGTTACAGTAACTAGCACAAACCTCTCGTACAATTTGGGACGAGCTTGCATAATAATTTCTCTTTCATACTTTATCATTATTTTACTTTTCTTAATATATTCTCTTTCCCTACCATTTTCTTTTTAAAAACCAAAAAAAACCTTTGGAGACTATTATTTAAACACGATAGGAGTATTAATATTGTGTTTTATACTTCAGGACCTCATATTCAATTTTAAACAAGGCTTTTCACATGTGAGCCCTTCATTTTTGGCACTAAAAAAACCAAAGTTACATGATCTCTTTGGTAAGAAATTTAGAATAGTTGTTTAGTCAAAGTATATTATTATAGAAGTTACTTTTTGCGATGATTAAAATGGCTTATATTAAAATATCAGAATTCAGACAAGTTACATCAAGACAAAAAGTTTCACCCTGATCATCTTTAAAGTTAATCACATTCAAAAAAGAAGTATAATTCCTTACATAAAAATAAAATATCATTGAAGCAGTAATTTTATTTCTACAAAGTAATCATCTATCCAGATGACATTATGCCCGACAAGCAAATCATCAAAACTCATCCCAATAAAGGATATTGAAGTTTAATATGTAGTATTACTGTATTGAACAAATACTATATGAGACTCGAAAGCCCAATCAAAAAATATGAAAATTTAAAAAAGTCGTTAGTTTAAAAGTGTGTATGAAAATGATAAAAACTAAAAAAAATCCTTTACGCATATTCTATTTTTAAAAGGCGTTATCTTGAGTTTAGAGTCCGTTTGATCATTCATGTTTTTGAATTTTATCGGTCAACTTTTTATCAAATATGTAACTTTTCATTTTACGCGCTAAATTGAATAGTAAATTAAATAAGTAAGGTTGAATTTACTTTTCTTACTAAATAGCCTGAATTTGTTGAAAGAGGAAATTCATCTTGGGAGGGCGGTAATTTAAACAAAAACAATCTAGGCGCTCATTATAAGTTATAACCTTTATATAATATTAATAAAACGAAACATTAAAATAGTACACAGTAAGCAAACAATAGAAGAAGAGACACATATATATATTATTACAAAATAGTTAAGTTACTACCTTAGAATTGTGCACAGCGCTCCTTCAACAAGATAAATTCATCAATCACGGCTTTTGAGTCAAAAGTTATAGCAATTTTCCTTTCAATATAAACAACAAGGTTGTTTGCAAGATACTCATCCTCCATTTTTATGGCAGTAATAAATTTAGCATTTTTTAATGAATTATAATTAAAATAACTTTGAGATATGACGAATTCAAATAACTTAATTGATATTTATTTTTAATTGAGCGTAAATTACCATTTTGTTAAGGAAAAAAGTTCAAATAAGCTCTTCTATTATTTCCAAACCGTCACTTAAGCCACTGTACTAAAAAAGTACTCCCTGCATCCCGAAAAGGTTGGCCAAGGTTGATTTTCACGTGGATTAAAAAGTAAAAACTATGTGGTTGAAATTTGTGCAGAGGAGAATTAATTTTAGCCACATATTCTTTATTTTAAATGGAAATGACAAATCTTTTTGAGACATCCAAAAAAGGAAATTTAGTCAACCTTTTCGAGACGGACGAAGTATCACATAAGTACGCCTACTTTACAAAATGGATCAATTTGATCATTTAATCAGTTTTTGACCTGTAATAGCAAATTTTTAATACTTAAAAATTCTAAGAAATTGTTAAAATTTAAAGAAATATATGAAAAAATTGTGAAGATTTTCAGAATATCAAAGTCAATACTTTTTTAATTTTTAAAAATATTTGTATATTCAACGTCTACTTAAAAGGTTTTAAAGTTTTTATTTTTTATTTTTTTATTTCACATTACTTTTTCAGTTTTTTTTTTACTTTAATGTTTTTGAAAGTTTATCTATTTTTATATTTACACTAGTTTTATATTATTATTAGACTATTTATTCAAATTTATATGAATTTTTGTAAGATTTATCATTATTCCTAATTTAATTTTTAAAAAATGACTTATTATAGCAGGTCAAAGGGCTTGATTGATTATATTTTAAACGTACTTATATGATACTTTTTTAAGTATAGGGGCTTAGGTGACAGATTAAGAATATTAGAAGTGCTTATTTGACTCTTTTTCTTTAGTTAATTATCTTTCAAAACCCTCCAAATTGAGAGAGCTAAAAATTGAGCATTTAGAGGCCGTGTTTTGGAGGGTCTCAAAAGCCCTCCAAAACCATACCCTCCAATTTTATAAACTCTCAAACATGGAAAGGAGGGTCATAAACCCCATCAACCTTCCTCTCCCCTCCAAAACCGACTCCCAAACACACCCCTAGGGTATGTTTTGGAGTTTGGGGGGATGAGAATGAAAATGATTTGGAGGTAAGTTATTGGAGGGGAAATGGAGGGAGGGTGAGAAAACTCTTCTTTGTATTTGGAAGTAATTAATTTGGAAGAAGAATTTTTTTAAATGAATTATAATTAAAATCACTTTGTGATATGACGAATTCAAATAATTGAATTGATATTTATTTTTAATTGAGCTTAAAAATTACCATTTCGTTAATTATCCTTCAAAACCCTCCAAATTGGGGAACTCAAAAATTGAGTATTTAAAGGGTTTTAGAGTGTCACGAAAGCCCTCCAAAACCATTCCCTCCAATTTTATAAGCCCTCCAAACATGAATAGGAAGATCATAAACCCCGCATAAACCTTCCTATCCTCTTCAAAACCGAATTCCCAAACACACCCTTAGAATTTTTATACTTTTGAATTCTGGATTACTCTTTGTTAACACAACAACCACAATCTTTCTTGTTTGAAAGAAAGTCTTTAGTTTTCATTGAAGATGTGTCTTTTAGTATAAATGTCTCCTATAAATTCATGATATTTTGTCATGAATATTACTAAAAAAGAGAGAATGGACAAAAAAAATGACCTTTTGTTTTAATTTCCAAAAATGTGATTAAAAAGGATAAAGAGACCATTTCACCCTTATTAAACCAACCGATCAGTTACAGTGACCAATCATACATTGGATTCCATCCAGTGATCAACATCCACTTATTCAGTGACCAACATCTACTCATCCAGTGACTAACGTCCGCCCGTCCAATGACCAATGTTCGTCTGTTTAGTGACCAACGCCCGCCGTCTAGTCACAGTTACGCGTCCAGTCACTTACGATTACCCAATCCGTCAGTTATAGTTACCTAATTTTAACCAATTATAGTTATGCGATCCACCGAATTACCGTTACCGTGTTCGACCATTTACAGTTACCTGCCATCACCCCGGCCACCACTGGTGAACGCCACCGCCGGCAACCACCACCTCCGACGACCACCACACCCCACCCCCTGCATCACCCAGACCCCTGCCTCACCCCGCCCTCTGCTCCTCCGGCACCACCGTGCCTTCTCCTCCTTCTACTGCTCTGCTCCCATCCCCAACCCCCTCCAGCCTCCCCAGGTCGCGGCTACCGTTGGCCGCGAAAACCTAGCCGTGACAGCCAACAACAACCGCATAACCCTAGTTGCGGCCGTCGATAACCCCGCAACCCTTGTTGTCGACGTCTGGAGTCCTCATCGCCGTTATCGCTTCCCAATCGCATTCGTCGATTCTGCCATCAACTTCTTCACCTGTAGTCCTCGTTTTCGCCATCGCCGCCATGGACTTGAGATAGAAAATGGAGGAGAAGAGTAAAAGGCGGCGGCGGCCTGGAGGAGGAGGCGGCGACCTCGACGCGGAGGAGGTCATCGTCAATCTGATCGCCACCTAGGTATTTGTGAAGTGAGCTCGTCACACCTCCGGTGGTGAAGCAACGGAAGAGATGGGCGGCCTGAAGAAATTTGGATCTAGGAGCTTCGTGCGGCGCTGGAGAAACAACAGAAGTCAGAAGATGGATGGCCATTTAGGTTCAGGGGTATTTGAGACATTCTATACTACCTTTGGTCTTTTATTCGTCCAAAATTATGTTGTAATTCAAAAATGATGTTTGTACACACTCTTATACACACTTTTGTACACACCTATGTCTGTGAAAGCTTTTTTTTGTCTGTGAACATCGATTCACAGACAATGTTTTGCACAAACAAAATATTATCTGTGAACCGGATTCACAGACAAAAAAAAAGCTTCACAAACATGGTGTGTACATCAAGAATTGTTGATTTTAAACAGGTCCTTCTGTCCATTCAAAGTGCAGTGGTCGTATTTGGTTCATTTTTTCTAAATTCATTTCTCTGTCATCCTTTATTGGCATCCAAAAATTAGAAAAAGCACCATGTTCATCCTCCGTTACTCTTTCCTCAATTGTGCATTCTTAAGTTTGCTAGTGACTAGTGTCCTTCAGAAACGTATGAAACTAGTCAGTTAAGATTCATACTTTTTATTCATATTTAAGATTTTCTAACAATTTCTTAATAAACACAGGTTCTTTAGTTCAAAATATTTGACCCTGTTGGTTCTTAGACATGCTGCTACTTAAACTTGCTGTTCTTTTCGAGCACCATGGTCGTGAAACCAGAACTCAAAATGTGACTTTATTTATCAAAATCGATTGGATCGGTGGTTCATCTCTTTTTTGTTAATTCTGGGTCTTGCGATGAACTAACTCGAGACTCCCCAAAATGAAACAACACGAAAATTTTGGGTTGAATGGACTAATGACGAGGAGTGTATAAACCATGTCATATAGCATGTGCCCGGATAAAAACGACATAAATACAAGTATACAGCACAAAATGCTGAATGCTCATTACATAAAAATATAAGACACAACAAAGGATTTGTGAAATCTCAAAGCGACAGTACTCTCTTTCCAAAGAAGGTCATCTAATGAGCATTATTCCTTAAATATTCAAGCTGATTTTAATGTTTTGCCAACATCAAGCACAAATCTGTATTTCACATCCGCTCTGAGGAGACGTTCTAAGGCAGTGTTGACATAATCCATTGGGACAACTTCCACATCTGGTGTTACGTTGTACTTCGCCGAAAAGTCTAGCATTTCTTGCGTCTCCTTTATTCCACCAATGTTACTTCCAGCCACTAGCTTCCGACCTGTTACCATCCGCGGCAAAGAATTACGGTATGATGATAGTTAATCAACTTTATGAAATACTATTATATACATATTGTGATTAATTACCCATGAGCAAGGGAAAAGCTGGAAGTTCGAGTGGTTTTTCGGGGACTCCAACCAATACAAGCTTTCCGTTGGTTTTCAATAAACTGAGCAGTGGCAAAAGAGGGTGAACCGCTGAAACGGTGTCTATTATGCCATCCAATGTGTTTACTGCTGCCTATACAAGTGTGAATGGATATGAAATACATCAATGTTACTAAATACAAGTATATATACGAGACAAACTTATCGAGACTGATGAAAAAAGAAAAGATGACACAAAGGCAATTGGATAGACTGAATAATCAGCTCTTGCAAAAGAAATTCCGTTACGACAACAGCATCCAAGCCTTAGTCCCAAAAATGTTTCGGGTCAACAAAAGAAATACTTTAGCAGTAGTTTCATCCAAAGCTGCAATAAGTTTGTGGACAAAGCTGAAACTGGTCGCAGCCAAAGGCTAAACACTTATTATTATGTATACAGAATCTTGTGAATAAAAATTTGAAAAATGAATTCCCCTAGCCAACCCAATATTCTATGCACACAGATTAAACCTCTTTATTAGGATGAGCTTTAAGGATTAAACTTGAATTGCTAATAGGATAAAATTAAGGATATCTTGCAGACCTGCATTTCTTCTGGGTTACGGCTGATCAAAAATGAGTCCGCGCCAAGATGGTCAATAGCCTCTTTCTTTTTACTAGCAGAGGTGCTAATCACAGTCACGGTGGATCCAAAAGCCTTGGCATACTTAACAGCCATATGGCCAAGACCACCTAGACCAACAACTCCAATGTGCATTCCTGGCTTGTCAAGTCCGAAGTATTTCATGGGGCTATAAGTTGTGATCCCAGCACAGAGCAGAGGAGCAGCCTCCATCGGCAAATTTTCAGGCCATTTGAGAATAAAATGCTCGTCAGCGACCATGATGTCGGAGTAACCACCGTAGGTGGGGGTTCCTTGAGAATTATAAGTATATATAACCCCCCTGCAATAATTTTCGAGGTCACTTTCACAGTTCTCACATTTGCGACAGGATCCAACCAGACACCCTACCCCCACAGTGTCTCCAGCCTTAAAGTTCATCACCTTGCTCCCAACCTCAGTCACCACACCAACAATCTCATGGCTGCATCCATAAAAGGCAGAGTATATGGTGATCAGTAAGTTGTCAGTTTAGTTTACTACATTAATGCCATGTCCTCTATCACTATTGTTACTTTGAACCACTAAAAAGATAAGCACAGGTTAATAAATCAAATGGAAACAAAATAAAAGAAAAAAGTGCTTACTGCTGTCAAATTAGGAATCCTATGAATTATAAAGGAATGAATGTAGTAGTGCATTCTTTTCGATCTAAGCATCATTTGAGGTGTTTGAATATGAATCACATTAGTCATTTTTCCTAAATAAGGTAAAATAGTAACATGTAGGAATACTATCTTACTTCTAATCCCACAATTATTAGAACATTTACACTTTTACTCCTTGCCTTTCACCTTAATTTTGGTTGTGCATAACCAAGGATGTTTTTGAAGGGGAGCCTTGACGCACCGGTTACGTTGTTGCAGTGTGACTGTGAGGTCACGGTTAAAGTCTTGGGAGCAATCTCTTGTCAAAATGACAAGGAAACCCTTCCCCAGATGCTCGGGGGAGGGCAATGTGCATCGAGCTGTTTTTTTTTAATTTAGGATATTTTTAATTGGACGTCTTTCAGTTCCAAACCAGACTTATACACACCACACTACACTAGACTTAATAACTACATACCTTAGGGTATGTTTGGCACAACTAGGTGAAAAGATACTTTTGTGAGCTTTTTAATAACCGTTAGCTTTTAGTGACTGAAAAGATCTTAAAGAGAAAAGGTGATAGCTATTTGGTAAAAAGCTGACTGTTTGATTTAGTTCGGTTTGGTATACAAGCTGTTAGGACTAATTAATACTAAAAGTCACAGGCTTTTTTCAGATGCTACTCCCTGTAGCATCTCAAAAAAGATCTTTTAATTTTTTAAAAGCTCTTAAAAATTGTCATGTCAAACATATAATAGAAGCTTTTAGAGACTTTTTGAACAGTATAAAAGCTAGAAGGTAGAGACTTATGTTTGTCAAACATAGCCTTAGATTATAGTAAAATACACTTACACCATACATTTACGAGAGACCACACTTAAATAGAACCAATAGAGAATTTTGGTCCGATTAAGAACCATCCCCCAACTATAAGTTAGCCCCTTTGGCCTTTGGGTCCTTCCAATCATTTCCAAGCCAATTCATGCACATCTTGCAGTTGATCTTTTGGTGGATAATGACATTAAAGAATTCGAAATCAAAAAACACTCATGATCATTCATCAAAACTTAGAAGTGATAAAAAATGAACTTCTCCTACCAAAAAAAATCTAAGTGATATTTTATGAGCAACATATCCATATAATTGTTGCACTGTTCGACAATGTAGTCTGTAATATGTAGGGTTTTTTAACAAGAATATCACTAAAATAAGTCATATTTACATAAATATGACTATTCATTACTACAAGGTGGTGTTGTGGTAACTTAAGCTCAAAACTTGAACATGAATTACTATGATTTCATTGTTACTCTAGTCATTAGTCATATTTTTGTAAATCATCTTTATTTTGGTCATATAAATGTAATTATTTCTAATATGTATGGATGACAAATGGTAGTGATCGAAAATGAGTAATGTGTACTAAAATGACAGTTATTCGAAGAGTAAAAACCGACGCTCACAGGAGAAACAAGGCAAATATTTTCATGATCTAAAAATTAAAAAGAGACTTTATTATTGATCTTACCCGGGAACAATGGGATATTTAGTGTTACCCCATTCATTCTTAAGCTTGTGTAGATCAGAGTGGCATATTCCACAGTACATGACCTTGAACTGCACATCCTTTTCCCCAGTTGCCCTGCACCCATCCGATTAGATACAAAACCACTATTCTATTTTCATTTACACAGTTCCATATTTTACTATCTTTTTTTTTATTTTTATCAATTATGATCTTACTTCCTTGTTCTCTTAAATAAGGTCATAATTTGACATGTTCATATTTGAAATGTTTTTTATTGTGAGTATGTGAAGGGTCTACTGTTTTAGGATTGCTGTTAATTGGTATTTGAGATAGCAAGGTAAATGAAAAATTCCCAAAGTATTGTGTTTTTGTTTCAGAGTAATGATTGTCAAATTTGAAATATACCACTACTACTACTGTTATATTTAAAATCTGACAATATCATGTTTGTAAAAACATGACACAATGACACTAATTAGGAGGGCTATTGTTTCTAGTACTCATGCCTCCTATTTAAGGGAGTTTTTATTCTTTTATTTTTTAAGATACACCTAAACAAGTCCAAAAAGATACTAGTATTTAGTTCTAATTTGCTAAAGAAAATACAGTAACTTTAAATAGAAAAAGAGTAGTTTTCAGATTTCTCCATTTCTGAGGTGTAAAAGTAGAGGTGGTAGTAAATTAGTAATAATAGAACACATAATTACCTTCTGGAGAAGTTGAAAGGACAGAGAAGTCCAGAGGTGTCCCTAGCTGCCCATCCAAAAGCCTTCACGGGGTGCTCTGTCTCATATGAATTTGCTGCCATGAAATACGTATGTAGAAAGAATTAAGCTACCCCGTATGAGTAATGAGAAATCTGAAAAAATCAGCAGAAGATGTTCGAAAACGGAATGGCCAATGGCATATATATACACAGTGGGGGAGATGAGGTAAGTGTTGAGGTGGAAAGCACTAGTCGCCAACGGAAATAAGAAAAGGGGTTTTCCCCTCGATATTTCTAAATTCTAACTCAATTTCCAAAATAGTCACTGGTTTCAAATATTGACAAAAATGTGATTAATGAGATCGTAGATTTGGAAAAAGATAATGTAACTGTAAATAATTATGTCACTGTGATTAATGAGGTACCCCATACTTACCTCATTTCCTACCTCATATAAATACTAAAATAACTCCTTTTTTACCATCCTTTTTACCCTTCCCCACTTTTCTTCTCCTTCCCTCTCTCTCCTCCATCTTTTCTTTTCACGCAGCCCCCTCATCCCCTCCCCTTTCTTTTTCTTTTCTCCAAAACTTGATTTCTTCTCCATTTCAAGATCTCTTCCCATTAAGTCTTCTCATTTTTACAATCTTTTCTCCCTCCAAGCTTCTTCTTTTGCTCCTCTCCTCTTATGCCTTTTTTTTCGTTTCAAATGGAAGAGCTACAATAATCGGACAAAGGGGAGAAGCTCGGTGACGTGGGGAGTTGTGTCTAAGGTAACCATCCCTTCTCAAATCATGAGTTACGTACTCCATTTACAATTTTTCTTCATGTGCGTTTTTTATTATTATTTTTTCTTTTTTCGATTTTATGTATATTATGTATGATATAAAAGTAAATAATTGATTATTTTGTTTCATTGTAATGATTTTGAGGTGTTACCTAATTAAAATTTTAGTGTAATTTCTCTATTTCATTTTATGCCCATAACATGTTTGTAGAAATTACTCAATGAAGTTTTTGTTGAAATTCAAGACTTTTTTTCCATTTTTTGTACCTCAATGTTTAATGAGTATTTTTATGGATTTCCAATTCAATATGATATAGCAATTTAATTGATGTTTTGGAAAAGAGTATGTTGTTTTTTTGTAATTTGTTTGTATTTTGTTTGGTGGACAGACAATTTAGAACTGCAGTGTCTGTCTAGCCTAAAGTGAACACGGTTTTGTCTTAAAGTCTGAGCCAATTAACTACTCTCTGTCTTATAGCCAGACAAATTTTGTCTGGTCCAGACATTAGTAGTCTGGGCCAATTAACTACGCTCTGTCTTACAGCCAGACAAATTTTGTCTGGGCCAGACATTAGTAGTCTGGGCCAATTGACTACTCTCTGTCTTACAGCCAGACAAATTTTGTCTGGGCCAGACATTAGTAGTCTGGGCCATTTAACTACTCTCTGTCTTACAGCCAGACAAATTTTGTCTGGGCCAAACATTAGTAGAGTGGGCCAATTAACTACTCTCTGTCTCAAAGCCAGACAAAAGTTAGTTGTGCCAGACAACAATTGTCTCTTCCAGACAAATTGATTATGCCTCACATATGCTATTTGTACCAAATATGTGTTCTGACTACTGTGTTGTGTATTAATCGTAGGTATTCACTTCAAGATGACGAATGACTTCAAATGTAAGGCTGAAAAAGAGTTCCAAGCGGACGTTTTGAACTTGTGATTTTTTGAACATGTATTTTTTTCATATTACAGTTGAGAAAATGTGTTGAATATTGTACAATGTTACATGTTCAATGTTGAACAATTGGATTCAGCGATATTGTCTGTATGTGTTGAATACTTATGTATGTTGATCTTTTGTTTGTCTGGTTATCTGTGGTATTGTCTGTATGTGTAAATTGTTTGTCTTTCTGCATGAAAGTAATGTATGTCTGGTTATCTGTGTTGTTTGTCTATCTAACGGTTGTGTTTCACCTATCATAGTCTATTTAGACATATTTAAATTGCTTCTTTACTGGGGAACTTCATACCAACACATACAATATTATACATGTTTGGTTTTCACCAAATTCATTTGTACATTAACAAATACAATCATATCTCCGAACACTTTTATATAACCACATTAACAATTACTAAACTCGTCAAAATGTACTATAAAATAACTAAACTCGTCAAAACAACCCACAAATATACATTCCCACATTAATAACAATTCCTATGCTTCCTCCACCTTGTTGCAATACATATGTAGACAGACGGACTATTTTCACATTACATACAACTCAAATAGAATGCCAGACAACGTTTTTCACATACAGACAACTACAAATCAATTTTAAAGAATTCATTTCACATTACAGACAAATCAAATGGAATGCCAGACAACTCTTTTCACTTCATAGACAACTACAAACCAATTTTCAACATCCGAAGAGAGACATCACAAAAGTCATCACACGTACTATAAAATACATTTGTAAAATAAGAAGATGTGCATACATACAGTTGCTCTATGTACTCAAACAAACAAATTTGTCTGTCCAGATAGACATCTTATGTAAGACTCTACCAATTATGAAACCATGCTCAGCTAGACAGACGCTGCACTTCAAATTTGTCTGTCAGACAGACAACCCCTTTTCATGTGGAGTTGGACGAAAAATACCAAAAAATTGGAAAAAAATAGAAAAATGACAAACCAAATTAATGAGGAAATAATAATCATCATCATCATCATCATCATCATCATTATTTCAACAAATACAAACCAATTTTCAACAAACAAAAATAAAACAAAAACATACATTTCCAACACTTCATCCAAATAGCACTTCATCTAAAGAGACCAACCAGACTAGCTAGTTTGAGGGTCAAAACATGAATTGATTTTGTGAAGAATCTAAGGGATGAAATTATAGAGCTGCGAAAAAAAGAGAATGTCGGTGGGAAATTAATGAGACCACGATTCTTCTTCGATGTTTCGGACTAATGGCAGACGGAGTCACTGTAGTCCGGTCCGTCCGGCAACAGAGAGAAGGCGTATACAGAGCCGGTTGAGAGCGGGTAAGGTCGGTGACGGAGTCGGAAGAGAGTCGGAGATGATGGGAAGGTCTGCGACGCGAGGAGGGTGTGAGGTCGGCTACTTTGATTTTTCGAAACTTCATGGGAAGGAAATGAGTGTAAAAGCGGCAGATCTGGAGAGAGGTGAGGGAGAAATTTGGACGAACATGAAGGAGGTGGGAGGTGGGGGGTAATTTTTTTGGAGGAGTATTTATATGGGGTACAAGTTGGGTAAAGTTGGGGTACCTATAGCAAAATTGTGTTACTTTTTGGTCAAAATCAATTTAAGTCATATTTTTGTCCAATACAAGTCTAGAAGTATTATTTGTGTCATTATTTCATAAGAAAATCTTATGTTGATTCTGGGTCTTCCAAAATAGGGGTGCACAAAAATCTCGGTTCATTTCGATACCGTTTTGAAACTATCCCGATCCATTTAGGATGCAATTTTTTCATTCTGAATCGGTTTCGTACCGATATTAACCGGGACAGGACCGAGATAACTATAAAATATCATGTCCCGTCCTCCCGTTTAAAATTAGTAGGTTATTTTAAATTTCTAATGCTATGTAATAGTCAAACCCAATTAAAACTCTCTAGTCCTTAGTCTCTTTAGTGTAATTTTATTTTATTTCATGTCTCTCTTAGTCTCGTTTCTTTTATTTCTTTTGATTAAAATTTGTTTAGTTCTCATTTTGATACTACTCCATAATATATTATTACGTGCGGAATATTATTTATGATGAAATAACTAGTACTCCAAAATACAGTGTTGTTATAGATTTAATATTTTCCAAAATAACTACTAGAAAATATATAGTCTTTATAGATATGATATTTAATATAATGTGGTATTGAAAAATTACAAGTGTACTAAAAAGTACAATACTATTTTGTGTTACTATTCTACTAGAGGAAACACAAGATTATGGGGGACCAAAAAAATTCACAAGACAAAAATTAAATATAGTTAATTAGAGATTTTCCTTAACTTTATTGTGATGTTATACTTATTTTTATATCACATTTCACACATGTTTATTTTATGGGACGTCCCGAACCTCTCGGTTTTTCTCGGATCGTCCCGGTCCCATTTTAAATGGCACAACATTGAGATAAAGATCAGAGTTATCCTAAACCGTACTAGACCATTATTATAAAACCGGATCGGGATAAGCAAAATCTCGAACCGTTCCGGATCGCACACATCCCTATTCCAAAATACCTTACTGTTAGTAATTGAGATTTGAATGCCAATCGCCTCATCCTTTGACCTGAATTACTTTTCCAGTCCAGGGACGGCCTTTGGAGGTGCTCAAGCGGTACATGAACAACCCAAAGTATAAAACCACTCTTGGCTCACACGCCTAAATTAAACTTTACTCAAATATTGGTAATTAAATATAAATAGTTAATGTGGCTTTAACCCAAGTACTTGAAGAGATCATGTGAGTTTAATGCACCAAATCCCTTGTGATATGGAAATTCGACGCATTAGCCCTCTTTGATTTAAAAAATGCGTCAAACTCTCTTATGTTTTAATTGATTATGCGCAAAATTCCTACTATGAACAAATTCAATTGTCAAATATAAGAAAAATGATTAACATTTTTGTATGATTTAGAGATTTTGACATATTTACTTGCATATTCAATCAGAATATTAGGAAAAGTGATCTCAAAATAATTAAATTTAGTCATAAAAGGGGTTCTGTGCATGATTAATTAAAACACAAGGGGGTTTGACGCATTTTTTAAAACATAGAGGGCTAATGCGCTGAATTTCTATATCACGAGAGAGTTTGGTGCATTAAACCCGATATCATGTACTCAGATCAGACTTCACTTTCGGTTTAGAGATTTCAAACATTATACCACCTCTGCTCTCTTTTAATTTTCTTATTTTTTGACACGAAACTCGCCTTATATTATATCATTAGAAACGGGATCGTTACATCAAACACATAAAGACCACTAACAACGATTATCCTCCACCCACAATGATTGTCAACCCTACGATTAGACATAGAAACGGTCATCCCGGATGGAGCAACACGAATCACTAAACGTGTAGCGGGTTTAAACCAACTATAACTAACCAAAAGGATCCCCAACCATCTAACAACATAATACTTAGCTAAACTCCCAATCCCCTTAACTAAACAAACAACAATGACTTCAAGAAAGAAACTGACAACAAGGCAAAACACAAGAATAGTAAGCAAATTGGACTGCAAATAACAGAGAAGAACTAGTAAAACATTCTTCCAAACCCTAATCTCACAAATCCTCCATGGTGGCGGTTCACGAGGGGGACGAAGCTTTCTCATATCATCTTCTTCCTCCACCATCTGAGGCGGCCAGATCACACACGCCAATCCCTCACCCACCTTGTTGGAGTTCATATTCGCCCCTTCCAACAAACGTCAAACCGCTAGTGTTCCACCCGGATCAAACACAAGTGGTGTAGCATTCGTCCCAAACATCAACCAAGCCAACACTGCGAAAGCAAGCATATGGCTATTAGCTCTCTTTTAATTTGAACATTGGACTTTTTGCACTATATTTTATTAATTAAGGTATTATAAATTAAAGTTTTTAATTTTTTTAAAAAATTCCTCTCATTTTATAATTTTTCATAATATGATTTTTTAATTTTTTTTGCTAATAAGGAACGAAAGGTATTAATGGTCAATTTGTGTGTTGACAAGCGTAAAAAGTGAACCGTTGTAATTAAAAAAGAACGAAGGGAGTATAAATGTTTTAGCCAAAAGTTGGATGCAGTTGTTGACTAAACATTTCGTACTACCTTATTGCATACTTGTACAAATGCTTTTATACTAGTTATAACATCTTGCTAATTTCAATACTTTTTTAGGATAAGAGGGTGTTTTGATACACCCCTTCAAACTATTTTTGCTCATCTAGAAAGTAGAAGCAAATAGGAGTATTTTAGTGGAAGTACAAAAGTATTTATGAGTGCTCGAAATTGCTTTTGGATGCAGTTTTTTAGAAACAGGGGATACTCACTTTTGAAAACAGATTTTAATTCTACTTCTGCTTCTGAAAAAGAAGAAGAAACAGAATCAATTTTAGATACATACCCCTACATATCCTTCTATCTATTTTTCAATAAGAGCAACCTCTAGCTTCACTGCATCACAACCTCTAGCTTCACTGCATCGCAACTTAGTAGTATATACTAAGAGGCCGTTTAGTGAGTTTGTTTTTCGGCTTATTAGGTTTGTCAGCCAACTTTTTAACCAAACACATAATTTTTGATTTCGTGCGCTGAATTGTGTAATGATAAGAAAAGGTAAGGTTGAAGTTACTTTTCTGACTGTATTGGCTGAAGTGACTGTAAATGACCATTTAAGCTAGGGGTGGGCATAACGGTTCGGTTTGACCGAACCGAACCGTACCAAACCAAATTAAATCAAACCGAAACCGAATCATTTGTAATTTGGTTTGAGTTTGGTAGTATTCCTCCCAACCCGTATTAAACCGAACCAAACCGAACCGAAATCATAAAACCGAATAAAACCGAATAAAATCGAACTAATCTAAAAATGAAATAATTTCTTGTTTTTTTTTAAAATAACAAATCAAAACCAACTTACATCGAACTAAACCAAACCAAAATATAATATTTCTCTCATTAATTTGATTGATGTTAATCTTTTTGAAGGTTTAATTCGTTAATTTTAGTGTCCAGGACTAGAGTTTACTACAAGAGTTACATTCACAATCATAACAATTATAGTGGTTTTAGTAGATAGTATTTAACTACAAGTATAAATTATTATCTACTACTACTCCTATATATTTGGTTCATTACTTACAAGCACCAATTTTGTTTTTGTTTCGGTTTTATATATAATTTGATTCATTCTCGTTGTTGTTGTTGCTTACATATGTGTCATGCTTATATATTTTTGGTTCATATGTCTTTTGTTATTGTTTGCAAATTTATGTCTAACATTATATTTGGTTCATTACTATCCATTCTTGGTTCATTATTTTGAGTTAATTTTTTTATTTCAATCCAAACCTTAATACTTTGGTAAACCGAACTCCAAACCGAACCGAACCATACCAAACCGAAACCAAACCGAAACATAATCGGTTTGTATTTGGTACATTTTCTATCAAACCGATTAAACCGAAACCGAACCGAAACCGAAGAAAACCGAACCGAAAACCGAAATGCCCACCCCTAATTTAAGCTATTTTTTTCATATATTTTTTCTTTATTTTATTAATAAAATATATTTCAAATATAATTTTTTCAAAATCAATAGAATCAGCAAATACAACGACTTCAATCAGAATTTCATAAATTTCAGAAGAATCAACCTATTGAGCTGATTTCAGTGTTACCAAATCTTTAAAACGCTTCTTATACTCCGTACAACACCACAACAAACCATATACTCTGTACAAAATTAGTAATATCCCATTTCCTTGAAGAAATTCAGAAAACAAATCAATACACCCCAAAATGAAAAATAACAAGAAAACTTTAGGCTGAATGGAGTAATGGACGTGCCCTGATAAAAGCGACATGAATACACCACAAAATGATGCATCCCCATTACATAAAACTAGTATAAAACACGTAATGAAAACAATTAACTATAAAAAAGACTCACCTATGACCTATCAGAATAATAAACTTTATGATTGATTAGTATAACATCACGTAATATGCTCACACAAAAATAAGCACAAAAATAACGTTTTTATATTATTTGTTAATATTTGTTTGTTCATTAAAATTATCAAATATTTGAGTCGGGGAAATACTAACAATCAAATTAAGCTAGTAAAATTGCGTACAGAAAAATAATTTTGTCAACGAGACAAAATATACAATGGGAGGAAACTCACAACATTCGTACGTCTAATTATTCTTTAATTATATTACTACGTATATATTATAAAAACAAACACATGGCAACACGGATATATAGAACTTTGAAACTCCTAACAATTGTGTAAATAAAATGAACCAGTCCGTTTGGATTTGCTCTAAATATGAATATACAAAGATATTCAAGCAAATTTCAGTGTGTTGACAATGTCTAAAACAAATCTATATTTGACTTGACCATTTGCGAGGCGTTCGAGTGCAGTGTTAACATAGTCCATGGCGACAACCTCCACGTCTGGTGTTATGTTATTTTCGGCAGAAAAGTCTAGCATTTCTTGCGTCTCTTTTATTCCACCAATGCAACTTCCCACAACTAGTTTCCTACCTGCAGTGATCCATCCATTCAAGTCCAATATAAGTATGGGATTTCTTAAAATATAAGTAAAACAATGTTGCTTTTACAAATACTTCTATATATTTTCCATAAATATGACTGAAGTATTGGCAGATTAAACTCATGTTTCACTAATGCAGTTTTACCCCGAGAGAAAAAGCTCAATTAGTAACAGATTTGTGAATGACGTTTTTAGCAAATAATTCGCACTTCTGTAATCACAAAATCTGAAATTCAATGTACTATATGTGGGGTGTGTTTCGGAAAATAAAGAAAATTAATTAAAATAAATTAATTAAATAAAATGACTAGAGAATTTTTAACACATTTTTCAATTTTTAACACAGTTTTACCCCAAAATGACCATTTAATGCAATTTTTAACACATTTTTCCAACACTATATACATCCTCATTTGTTAGAATTTGATCCCAAATATAAATACTATCTCCTTCCCATAAAATTCTTCCCACTTTGACTTGGCACGGAGATTAAGAAAGTGGAAATGTATGGTTGTGCTTGTATAAGAAAAGGGTGAAATGAATGTGAACCACACAAATTATCCAAAAATGATAAGTGGGAAAAATTTTTTGGGACGGCCCAAAAGGAAAGTGCGAAGAATTTTATGGGACGGAGGGAGTATATACTATCGTATGTATACTTCCTCCGTCCCGAAACGTCAATGACAATCAACTTTGACCAATGATATCTTTTAATAGAAATTATTTTCAATATGAAAATTATATCAAATGTTTCTTATTCAAAATACATTCATAAAAGTATAAATTTTATAAATTGTCTACAAATTTAATAATTAAAATCATCGTCTAAAGTTAGCATTCATTGACCAAGAAAAGTCAATTTGATGAACATTTTCGGGACGAAGGTAGTATAATTTATGTGTGAGTTAGGTTATTGATATAAAAGGATGTCCATACCCAAGATCAAGGGAAAGGCTGGCAGTTCAAATGGTATCTCTGGTGCTCCGACTACTACGAGCTTTCCATTGACTTTCAATAAACTTAGTAGAGGCACAAGAGGGTGAGTGGCAGAGACTGTGTCTATTATCCCATCTATTGTGCTTCCTGCCGCCTACGCAAATAAATAATACAAAGTATAAAAAAAAGGGAAACTTCTCGAAATAGGACTAAAAACATGTTCAAAATTCTAAAATAGGACCGTCATGTTTTTTATTCCCAAAATAGGACTAATTACTGCCATGTTTAGAAAATACTGTCATGTTTGAAGTCTGGTACTGCCAAAACATGGCAGTAATTAGTCCAATTTTGGGAATAAAAACATGACATTCCCATTTTGAAATTTTCAAACTGTTTTAGTCCTATTTCAGGTAATATCTCAAAAAAAATGTTTCAGCCCCTATATAGGAAGTATAAAGTAGAAGCTATTAATTACTCCGTATATGTTACAACTCCTCTTATAAGTTTGACATTTTATTCAAGAACAAGAAAACACAAATAAATCCTTAAGGGTGTGTTTGGGAGTTGGGTTTTGGAGGGGAGGGGGAGGTTGATAGGGGTTTATAACCCTCCTTTTCATGTTTGGGAGTTTATAAAACTGGAGGGATGGTTTTGGAGGGCTTTCATGATCCTCCGAAACCCTCTAAATGCCTAATTTTTAAGTTCTCCCAATTTGGAGGGTTTTGAGGGATAATTAATGAAATGGTAATTTAAGCTCAATTAAAAATAAATATCAGTTCAATTATTTAAATTCGTCATATCTCAAAGTAATTTTAATTATAATTCATTCAAAAACTCTCTTCTTCCAAATTTATTACTCCCAAATACAAAGAAGGACTTCTTCACCCTCCCCTCTCTTTCCCCTCCAACAACATACCTCCAAAGCCTTCCCCTCCCCTTCCCTCCGAACTCCCAAACATACCCTAATAGTATAGTAGGATAAAGATGGAGACATTTTGCAAACCTGCATGTCTTCTGAGTTGCTGCTGATCAAGAATGAGTCAGCCCCAAAGCGTTCCATAGCCTCTTTCTTCTTACTAGCAGAGGTGCTGATCACAGTCACCTTGCATCCAAAAGCCTTGGCATACTTAATAGCCATATGGCCAAGGCCACCTAGACCAACAACGCCAATGTGCATTCCTGGCTTGTCAAGTCCGAAATGTTTTAAAGGGCTATACGTTGTGATCCCGGCACATAGCAGAGGAGCTGCCTCCATTGGCAAATTTTCGGGCAATCGGAGAACAAAGTGCTCATCGGCAACCATGATGTCTGAGTAACCGCCATACGTGGTTGTTCCGATAGCATTGTAAGTTTGAACACCTCCCGGGCAGTAATTCTCGAGATCGCTTGCACAACTTTCGCATTTACGACAGGATCCGACTAGACACCCTACACCCACTTTGTCACCAACCTTAAATTTATCGACTTTGCTCCCCACCTCTATCACCACACCAACGATCTCATGCCTGCACCCATAAGTTAAAGAGAAGCCAGGTAGTGATCAAGAGAATCATCACTACAAAAAAACTTCCAATTTGTCACGAATTTTGTCACGAATTTCAGCATGCCAATATTAATACTTCGTATCACTTTAAAGTGAGGTAGGGATCCTAGATTGAAAACTCATCTTACCCGGGAACAATGGGATATGTTGTGAAACCCCATTCATTCTTAACTTGGTGAAGATCTGAATGGCATATTCCACAATATATGACCTTGAACTGCACATCTCTTTCCCTCGTTTCCCTGCACAATTCATATTCTCATACATACATCTTTGTGAAGTATTTGTTTTGCGTAAAATATAAATAAGGGAAAAGGGTACGGATAAACTAGACTTAACGAAAAAAATGCTCAAAAAAATTCATCATAAAATTCCGTCGGGAACCGCACTAAATGGCGACGTCCGGATAGAGTCTCGTATATAAGGGATGATTTGCACTTTTCAGCTTAGTTCGAGGCATATTTGACCATTTTCCCTGTAAATAATGAAGGGATTTTTACATAAATATTACCACAAGTCATGGGGAGTTACAAGAAAGTGACTTATAACATGGACTACGTATGGCATCATGGGATTAAGTTAGAGAAAAAAGTCATATTTTTGTTAGTACGTGGGGTTTAAAGTAGTAATATTTGTGTAATTTTTTCAATAATGAATCTATGTGTACAATTTTTGTTGGTAACTCTTAAGGATTGAAAATTTAAATCTGGATATCAAAACCTGGTAAGATTATGAATTGTTTGTCTCACATGTTTAGGATCTCCTGTTTAATTTGGAGTTGGTTTAACCTATTTATATAGTTTAAGGTATGTGGTACAATTCCAGCTCATCGACATATGAGTGAAATATATAAATAAATACGTAGTATATATAGATATAATAACAAATTAACAATGTACTCCCTCCGTCCCGAAAAAGTTCACCGAATTGACTATTCTTGGTCAATGATTATCAACTTTGATCAATGAAAATTATAGCAAAATGTTATTTATTCAAAATATTTTAATAAAAGTATAAAATTTATAAATTATATATAAATATAACAATTAAAATCATTGTCCAAAGTTTGTTATCTTTGACTAAGAAAAATCAATATGACGAAACTTTTAGAAACGGAGGGTAGTAATTGCCTAATTGGGACGGCCCCTCAGGAACATATAACGGGAAAGAAATGGTAATTTTTAGAATTTAATAATGCAAGGATAAGTCAACAAATAAATAATTAAAATTTTAAAATATGAATATGATTAATAAATTATAGAGTTCATGAAATAGTTATAATCACGAAACCAAAACATGAAAGAAAAAGAAACCCAAAAAATAAAGACACGAAAATACGCCAAAGGGGAGCACTTAAAAAAGGGAAATATAAATAATTGTTATTTTAAAATAGGAGTGCTAAGAAAAAAAGTATGTAGCTGCCGTCAGGGGCGGATGTAACATTTGATTTGAGGCGGGGCCAAAATTTAATTAAATAAAGTACATTAAAAAATATGTCAAAATGACGAAATGTGATTAAATAATATTTGAGAAAGGTCAAAGAAAAAAATATCACGAACAGACAATTTAATTATCTTAAAGTCATAGATACTGAATCGAAATTGACTCGATTACTGAAATGTTCAGCACCAATTTTCAGATTAATTTCTTGGAAATCAAATTTCTTTTGAATCTATATTCTATACTTTGTAGACAAAATTGAACTACTTAAATTTGAACAACAAAGCACAATGAATTAAACTTATTAACTTTTCAGGACAATATTCAAAAGCCAAATGAATTGAACTAATTAATTTTCAGGCTAATATTCAAAAGCCCAATGAATTATACTAATTAATTCATCAGGCCAATAATCAAAAGTCCAATGAAATGAACTCATTAATTTTTCCGGCCAATATTCAAAAGCCCAACTAATAAGAATCCCCCCTTGGCCCCTTCTTCCGTGTGACACATAGATAATTTGGAAAGAAAAAATTAAAATTTAAAACATTAGCCAATTTTCAGATTAATTTCTTGGAAATCAAATTTCTTTTGAATCTATATTCTATACTTTGTAGACAAAATTGAACTACTTAAATTTGAACAACAAAGCACAATGAATTAAACTTATTAACTTTTCAGGACAATATTCAAAAGCCAAATGAATTGAACTAATTAATTTTCAGGCTAATATTCAAAAGCCCAATGAATTATACTAATTAATTCATCAGGCCAATAATCAAAAGTCCAATGAAATGAACTCATTAATTTTTCCGGCCAATATTCAAAAGCCCAACTAATAAGAATCCCCCCTTGGCCCCTTCTTCCGTGTGACACATAGATAATTTGGAAAGAAAAAATTAAAATTTAAAACATTAGCCAAAAGAAAAGTTTTATTGTTGCTCTCAAAACTTCAAATGGTCTCCCCAAGGATTCGAACCCAGCACTTCGTATTGCACTACACGCTCAGTACACTTCCACCACGCCAACATGAATTCTGTTTACAATTCCATGTTTTTTATTATTATAGCGTAACTATATAATTACGTAGTATATATTAATATATTTGGATATATTTAATATATACTAATAATTATTTTTTGAGCATGGGCCTAGGCCCTACCTGGCCCTATACCAGATCCGCCCCTGGCTGCCGTTTCTCCTTGTAGTTAGGGTTTTAGCTTTTCCGTCGATCTATATCGATTGGGTGGCTCTTCGGTTTGGGCCTTTGGGGTTTTCCCTGCGACGAGTTTCTTGGTGCGAACAAAGAAGTAGAAACAACAATAGGGAGATGATGACATCATCCAGTGAAGGTCATGGACGAAGATTGGAGTTAAAGGCTGAAACATATCTGGATTCGAGGTCATTTGTAATTGGTGGCGAAAGTGGAGGCTTGACAGAGAACATGATAATAAAAGGCAGAGTAAGGAAGAAGCTAGAGTACTACTGGCTTGTCCCCCCTCCTAAACCTCCGCCATGAAGTGCTAGAGAATCTAGGGTTTGGAAGAAAACAAGTGAACTCTAAAACCGTTTTATTTGGGTTATGTTTTTATTTCAAACTCCATGTTGTTTTGGTTGTGTTTTTATTTCCAGTTAGAGTTCTTTTGATAGGCAGAATTTCGGTTCCGATCGTTTTAAACTTAAATTTGCTCGTTTCAGGTTTAGCGATCGAGTCAGGTTGCTTTGTATGAGGTGGATGACTCTAAGTCTATTCTCAGGGTTCACGATTGGATTTGTAAAATCTGTCTAAAGGTTGTCTTGTATGCGTTCTCGTTTTTAATATAAAAGCTACTCTTTTGTGATAAAAAAATAGCAATGTTAAGTACATATTCACTTCAGGTTTAGAATTTTAAATTACTTCTAGTGTTATTCAAGACAAATTCTTATACAAGAGTATAAAACTAAATAAATGGGTCAAAATAGGAGTACAAATATATGTAATGTTTAAAAACCAGATAAATTTCATTTTAATCCAAATACAGAACTTAGTTTAATTTTATGCAAAGAGTTTTTTTTATCATAAAAGCGATTTTATATTAAAAACGAGTACGCATACAAGACAACCTTCAGACAAATTTTACAGATCCAATCGTGAACCCTAGCAGAAGACATAGAGGTAATCACCTCATACAAAGCAACCTGACTCGCTAAACCTGAAACATGCAAATTTATCCTAAAACGAACGAATTTGAAACCCTGTCAATCGAAAGAACTCAAAAAATCCAAACATTCCAACCAAATCTACTCGGACTAAAACAAAAACAAATACTACTAAAGAGAAAACAATATTGAAATAAAAACTTTCCACAAAACACTTCCTAGTATGGAGGTGATTCCGGAAGAGGACGAGCTCTTGCAATATGGGTGAATAGCAACTCCATCACTGTCGAAGTGGCCGACCAAGGCTTCACGAGTCCAATTTTGTTCACCCCTCCTTGGAGGGTGAACATCACCCCCTCCCCTCTTTACTTGCCATTTGGCATCACAAATCTTCTTTTTGTTAAAATCATTATACTCCGTAACTTTTTTATTTAAAATTTAATTTCCGTAAAAAATATATAGATTTAATAACTTTTTATAATATTTCCAATGGTTTCCATATTGCATACAAAAAATTAAAAGAAAAACATTTTTTTCTTATATCTTTTTTAGCCCGATTTTTTTTTTTTAATTTTACATATGCAATATTAGTATCATCTGAAAGATCATACAAAACTAAAAAAAATTGATATATATTTCGAAAAAATTGAATCAAAAATAAAAAAGTTATAACAATTGCAAAATTATAAAGTATTGTTATGACATGTGGCAACATTGGAGGGTGGGGGTGATGTTCACCCACTTTTGAGGGGTGAACAAAATTGTTCTGAGGTTTCACGCTCTAGCACCGATAAAAGCTCCCAGACACAACTTGTGCATCTGCTAAGACTATCTCCTCCGACGTAGTTGCAATCCAGACGTTAGAACACTTAAATCGGTATTGTAATTCTTCAAATGGGAAATTATCATTACCTCTCTTGAGGTTTGATACATTATCACTATTAAAAATACAGAAATTATCCTAAATAGGAGTAAAAACGCTTTGAAATTTCAAAATAGGAGTATCATGTTTTTTATTCCCTGAATAGGAGTAATCTACCAAGTTTGAAAAAAAATGTCATGTTTAAGCCTAAGCTAGTAATGCCAAACTTGGCAAAAATTTACTCCTATTCAACGAATAAAAAACATGATAGCCCTATTTTAGAATTTCAAAACTTTTTTACTCCTATTTAGGGAATTCTCTCTTACCCCTTCCCTATAATAACATATAATTTCATTTAGAGGAAAATATAAATTTAAAACCCATTTGATAACGCTGAAATCGGTTGAATTTGCTCACATTAGAAATTCTGGATGAAGTGACTAAATTTATTGAATTTGCTGAATTATGAATAAAAATAAAAATATATCTTATGAATAAAATAATAGAAATTACTCCAAATAGGACTAAAACAATGGCAAAAACTCAAAATAGGACTTACTATGTTTTTCTTTTCAAAATAGGACCAAATTAGTCCTATTGGAAACATACCTATTTTTTCCTTCCATTCTTACCCTTCCTTTAAATATGAGTTAATTAAATGTTTAATTCATAATAAATTCGAAAAAAATTCAAATATTCGTAGAAAAATAATTAAAAAATTTATAAAATATTTATAAAAAAATTGAAAAAACAAATTAATTTTTTTTATTTTTTAAAAAAATTAATAAAAAATAGTAAAACTCCATAAAAAAATTAAAAAAAATATGGATGCCTTTCCCACCGCATGTACTACCTCCCTGCACCACAATCTTCGGGCGGTGAAAAAAATGCCATTTTTTCTAAAAACTGCCATTTTTTCCTGAAAATGCAAAAAACATGGCATATTTCTCTTTGAGAATGCCAACATTTTCATTATTTTATGCCATAAATGTGGCATTCGTAATGAACTTGACATTTTTTTCCCGGTGACTGGAGGTGGTGGTGGAGAGGCGGCAGAGGCGGCGGTGAATTTTATTTTATTTTTTTGAGTTTTTTATTTTTTTAAATTTTTTTTAATTTTTTTATTTTTTGAAAAAAAAAATAATTAATTATTATTATCGAAATATTTTTATTAGTTTTTTAGGATTTTTTAAGAATTTTTATTATTTTTTATCATTTTATTATGAATTAAAACATTTCAATAGCTAGAAGGGTATATTTGTCCAAGACACACATAATTAGTCCTATGAAAACTTAGTTTAGCTTTTGATCCTATTTGTGCCAAGTGAGTGACTTTTAGTCCTATTTTGATAATTAACCCATAAAATAAAGAAAAACATGATAAATAGCTAGCATAGTCCACTACAACAATTTCTGTCAATTCAGCTAAAAAAGTAATTTTCAATCTTATTTATTTCAATTATTACACTATTCAAATCACGAAATTAAAAATTATGTATTTGTGAAAAAGGTTGACTATAAATGGAGTTACCAAATGGACTCCTTATCTTATACTTTTGATTGTGTATACTTTTGATTGTGTATACTTTTATATAATTTCGAAAAGAATAGTCCTTAATATGGGCAGATTTATTAGTTACACAATCATATCTACGTGTGAGTAAGTAATAGGGCTAAATGACTAATAATGGACAGGATCAAAGGATACGAGTTTAAAACAACAAATATAGAGCCCGTTTGGTGGTGCCCCTTTTCGACTTATCTGGCTTATCAGCCAGCTTTTTCACCAAACATGTAATTTTTGATTTCACGCACTGAATTTTGAAATAAGCAGAAAAAGTAAGGTTGAAGTTACTTTTTTGGCTGTATTGGCTGAAGTTACGGTAGAGGATCATTTTAGCTATTTTTTCATATAATTTTTTATTTATATTATTAATAAAAAATATTTTAAATATAATTTTTTCATGAATCAGCAGAATCAGCCAATACAGCCAATTTAGTCAGAACTTCATAAATTTCAGCAGAATCAGCCAATTCAGCCAATTTAGTGTCACCAAACGGGCTCATAATCTCTCTTACTTTTAAAAGAACGAAAGTAACTCTGAGATTGTAGAAGTTTTGTTGAAATATACATTTCACGTGTGGATGATTGTATGGTTATAATGGAGTTGACCATTAACAAAGTGACAAAGGAGATACTTGAAGAGTCTAAAAGATGTTTACCACAAAAAGGACACATCTTGGTGATATGAATATATGATGAGGTGAAACAAGTCATAGAAAAGTGATGAGAACATAAAAGAGTACAAGGAGACTAAAAGGAAAGCAAATCAAGCCGTAAAAAATGCACAATGGAAAGTGAATAACGAGTTGTATGTAAAATTGGACTCTAAGGAAGGTGAAAAAGATATTTATAGACTTGGTCGTCTTCGTGATCGTAAAACTCAAGATATTGAAATAGTTAAGTGTGTAAATTTGACGGCACCCAAGTCGTTGTATGCCTCAAAATAAATTCAATACTAACACTAATATGTGTTATAGTGATATAGAATTCGTATCCATAGAGAAAAGAATATTTCTCTTTTATGAAATTGTAACTAAAAGGGTTTTAAGATTGATTGGATTTAATAATTAAAACACTAAGATGGATGACTTATGCGATTAAGATTAATGAGATTAAAAGACTTGACCTTGCTACTTTCCATTGTTGATATGTTTGTTGATCCCGGTCATATCTATAACTTATCCCCTCTCGAATGCTCAATCGATAAGAATCTCCCATTCATCGAGGGTAGTTATTAATAACGGGACCGTTCATCAACAACCCTTATTATTAGCCAAGTATAGAACACCGTCATATACCGACTTGATACTAGCATTTAATCTCTTAACTCCTTGATGAAATCAATTAAGATTGATAACTTCAACACAACGGTTTCGATTTAACCAAAACATTTAATAAGACCATTTAACCAAATCATAAGACCATGCATTAATAACCCGAAGTTACTTATTTGTGAAACCATCAATGATTAACAATCGATTCATTAATCGTTTCTAGTTGTAATTAATGTCAAGATGTTAACTAATTGTCATTTAGCAACACTCTCCAACATTAACCTAACATTGTATTAGTTTTTTATTAGACAATGATTAACCATCAATGATTAACCATCGATTTATTGATCGTTTCTATTAGTTTTTGAGGTTTGAAATAAAATGTCATATTAAACATTGTATTTCAATCAATACGTAATGTTCATTAGATTACATGATTGATTACATCATACCAATCATACCAAACATAACCGGTTTGAAAAAAATTGTCATTGGGCGATGGAAAGACGGAAAGATGAAAAACGGCAATATATTTCTGTCGACCGGACATTTTTAAATCCGTTTTCTGTTTGTTGTTTTTAAAAGTGTGGATGCATGAGAGCCTCTCATTGAGGGGTACCCGACCTGAAATCGAACCGCCCAACACTCACCTTGCCCGTCCGCAACAAATGCCTGCGAATCGAGGCAGGAAACACATACCGGCACTGTAAGGCTTTGTTTGCAAACACTACTCATAAGTGCTTTTGAACTTGTTAAAGTGATTTTGGAAAAAATGCTTAAAAGTAAAAGTTAGTAGTGTTTGAGAAAAAATTGATTTTGAAAAGTAAAAATTGGTAGTGTTTGGTGAAATAAGTGCTTTTTGTGTAATAGAAAAAGTAAAAAACAGATTCTAGCTTTTAGCTTTTAAGTATTAATTTAAGTAGAAGTTGTCACTTGAAAACACTCTTTTTAGCTTTTTTAAGCCAAAACCTGCGAAACGCTCTTTTTAAGCGTTTGCAAAGGGTGCCTAAATCCGGCGTCCCGATACTATTACTGCACGTTGGGCGCCGGGAATACATCGTACTGGTTCTTTCTATCATATAATTTCAGGGCCGTCTAACGAATTTGGAGGTCTCAGTTCCAAATGTAAAATCGAGGCCCCACATTAATATAGAAAATTAAAACAAAATCTAAAATTAATTACTTATAATCAAATCAATTGAATACTCATTATATAATGTACTATTGTATTAATTTTTTCCCCTAAACCTTACTTAATACTTCATTTAAACCAACACAATTTATTATTCAATCAATTTGAATAAAAAAGAACTAAAAGGATCAACGAAAAAATGATAGATTTATATTTTTCTTCCTTACTGATTAACCTATATTTTAATATATAATATTACTATATAATATTAATAAATTTTTAAAAATAAAGGCCCGATAAATTGGCCACGTTCCGGACAACCTAATTAACCCCCTAAAACACGGTCTTGTCGTCTATCTATGTTTTTCGGCGGTTTGTTGCCTACCCGGTGCAAATTACAGCGGTTCAAAACAGTGTCACGGGTAGGACAGAAAATTTCGCATACCTTCTGGAAAAGTTGAAAGGAGAAAGAACGCCGGAGATGCCCCTTGCTGCCCATCCAAAGACCTTCACTGGGAGCTCTGTTTCGCTTGAATTAGCTGCCATTCCTAAGTGATCAGAAGTTTAAGAAAGCGAAACCAAAAGTGTATAACTGTATGTTGATCGAGAATGGAGTAGAATGGTTTATTACAATTGTGCTTCGTTTTATAAAGAGATTACAGAAGGAATTAAGTCTAGTCGGCGTAGCCGCGTAGGTGTTGAGGTAGAAGGGTCCATACTCGTTCGCTAAAGCTTTTAACAAAAGAATCAATATCCAAATATCGAAAACTCAATAGCAAAAAAAAAAACCAAACTAAATTGAACAATAATATAGGTATATTGATTTATTATGTGATTACGTATGTAATTTGCAGTTTGTTGTATTATTTTAATATGTTTTTATTGTTTATTACTAGTTGATAGAGTATATCTAGAGAGAAGTGAGAGCTAGAGAGAGAAGTGCAATAATATGCTTCAATAGAATGAATTTGTCACCCCTATAATTACTCCCAAGGGGAGTATTTATAGAGAAAATACGGGCTGGGCTCTCAAGCCTTGGGCTTGGGAGGCCCATTTACAACTGGACCGCTACTGGGCCGAATACAAAGCCGCTAATGGACTGTACAAATGAGTAAGTGTAGAATCCGGTTCTGTGAGGTCTTCGTGGCCGACGAGGGCGTGGCCGACGAGGGCACGGCCGACGAGGGCGCGGCCGACGAGGGCACCCGGGTTCCTTGGGCTCAGGACCATAATCTGAGTTGGCACCTTCTCGGCCGACGGGGGTCCCTTGGCCGACGTGGGCGCCACTCGGTGTCTTGTGCTCTCTGTTCTTCTGAGTATGTGGGTCCAGGGGCTCAGACCCATATACTCCATCAGGAGTCCCCCCACTCTCTAAGCTGAGACGTAGACGAAGTGAAGGAGAGTAGATTCCCGTGCTCTAGTGCTTTTGGCCGATGCGGGCATTCCCGGGCCGTTAGCTGTTGCGGCGTTGGCGCTGTTCCCATTTTGGTGATCCTGTTCTGTGCTTTGACCGTTACCTGCTCCTCGCTGTGGACGGGGAGGCCGTTGTTTACTTGATGTGTTCGTTTGGGGACGATGAGTGTCCTGCTTTAATGGTGGCCGTTGAAGGCGTGCTTTCCCTTGGGTGTTGATGGTTGAAGTTTACCTTTAAGCCGATGAGGCCATTGAGGTTGATCCTTGCTCCGAGGACGATGGTGTCCTTTCCTTTGGGTGGCCGACGATGGTGTTTGCGCACTCCTTTTGGCCGTCGCTGATTGGCTTTCGTGTTCTTGGCCGAAGAGCCCATTATGATTAACTGTGGCGGAGGACGATGAATGTCCTTGCCTTAGGTGGCCTGTTGGCCGTTGTTGATGATGTTGTGTGCCTTTGGCCGACGAGGCGCAGTGTGATACATGGACGATGTGGCCATGCTTTGCGGTTACATTGTTCTTTGCATTTTTCCCTTTTTGTTTTGTTGAGGCCGGTGTAGTCCCCCAGTCCCCCACTGCTTCAGGCCGAAGAGTGTGAGGGGTGAAGGAGTCGCTTTAGTTCCTGGCCAAAACGGTCTCTCCGTAGTGCCCCTGAATCCAACCCTCATGGCGATTTTCTGGCCAAGGTAACCCTGTGGGAGAACCCTTGTGCGCAGATCGCTTTTAAAGAGTTATCATCAAGGGTCGTTACGAGGGGTCGATGAGCTGTGGGTTCTTTGTTCCTTTGGTTCCGTGGCCGTTACGGGCGTTTATTACGTTCCTCGCCGTTGTCATCTCCCTATTGTTGGCATTTGTGAACTTGGCAAGCAAATAGGCCGTTGTGGGCGCTTGCTGGCACTTGTGAAGCCGGCAGGTGTATAGGCCGTAGAGTCTGTTTTGCCAGTGGGCTCTTGGTATGTAGGTTGGGCCTGGCCCTTTGGTGACGTGGTGGCCTCCCATTGGTGGCCGTTGATGTGGCCATTGGGAGGGTGCCACGTGTAGTGACCGTTGGGTGGGGGGTTCTATAAATACCCCTCCCCCTCCGACGAGAAACCTCATTTGCATTCTGAGTTGTCGAAGTGCTGGCCAAATTTCTAGAGAGATAAACTCCCAAGCTCGTTCTTCGTGTTCTTCGTGTTCAAGGTTAGTGTTCATCGCAATCTTCTGTACTTTGCATACTTTGCTTCCTAGGCTAGTGATCTAGTGTTAGGCGCTTGAACACCCTTAGATCCTAAGTTATTCCCCTTAGGCTCGTAGTAGTTGTTATGATGAAGAGCTTGAACGAAGACTACTATCCGTACGACGACCAGCCCTCCACTAGGTCACTCGACTACGAGGTGCCTTAGGAGTTCGAGGAGGAGATACAACACTTAAGTCCTTACAAGTCCGGAGAGCCGGTGGACGACGAAGTTGAGGACGAGGAGTCCGCCTCGTCTACAAAAGGTGAGGACGCAGGTGCGTCCCGAGTGGTGGACGGGGCATCCACTTCCGCTGTCATTCCATGCCCAAGACCGGTGTCTGCCGTGAAGGGAGCAGATAAGCCGAAGAGAATAAGGAGGCCGAAGAGTGGGCCGGGCGTCTCCTACCTGGATCTCACAAACATCTTCCTGATCAAGCCGGAGAGCAGTGCGGCCGACTACTTGGTTGCCCAGATGTACGTGGGGCCGTTCGGGCGGGTTAGAGCACCCAGGCCGACGGACCATGTTCTTCATCCGCCACCGGGATACTTTGGAGTATACCCGATGAGTTTCGCCAAGGGGCTGAGGTTTCCCCTTCACCCCTTCATCACCGAATACCTTGACATGGTGGGGCTCCCTCTGGCCTTGCTGACGCCGAATAGCTACTCTTTGATGGTGGGGTTTTTGCTCCGCTGTGAGGAGCTGGGCTACAGGCCGACGACGGCTCTGTTCATGAATCTGTATCAGATAGGCCGAGGAAGCCACAAAAATTGTGCGGCCTATGCTACTCTCCAACAGCTGCCGAAGAAGAAGAGCTTCACGGACTTGCCTTCGTCCATTCATGGGTGGAAGAGCAAGTTCGTTTTTGTATCCCTTGGTGAGAATGGCACCGAGTTTCCCTCTCTCGCCCATACCGGGAGGTTCAATCTGCATGACCCGCCGAAGAGTTCTATCTTGGACGCTCAGGTGGAGGCTTTCTTGGAAGGGGGGCCGAGGAGCGTGAAGGATTATATCACCGAATACAAGATGACCGCCCTCAGCTTCTTAAGATACCATGTGTATGGCGATAAGGAGGACGATATCCAACTCTGGCCGAGGATGACCACCACCTTCGAAGAGGCCGACGGCTCGGATTTGGGCATTCCTGCTGAGGCCGATGGTAATTATTTTTTCGGCTTTCTTCCTTTGTAATTTGTTCTTTTGCCTTGCTAATCTGTTCGTTTTTCCTTTGTGTAGATTTTGTCATGGATCGCCGTTCCATCATGGCTATAGCCAAGGCCAAGGCGGCCGAGGAGTTGGCTGCAAAGGCGGCCGAGGCGGCCAGACGTGCCGTGGCCAAGGGGGGCGGGGCTACTGCTGGTGCGGCCCCGAAGCCTGCCCAGTCCAAGAAGAAGAGGCCTCCTACTGACGGCCAGAAGAAATTGACTGAGGCCGGCCTGAACGTCACCAAGAAGACGAAGAGGGCACCGTCTCCTTCTCATGCTACTGAGGCCGGCACTCTGACCGTCCCGAGTGTGGACGATAGTGGTCCCGTTGTGGATCTCACTGCTGCTCCAAGCGATGCTGCCCAGTCGCTCCCTCTCGTCCAGGAGCCACGGACGAAGAGGGCCGGCAAGGAGATTGCCGCTGCCACCTACCAGAAGATGGTGGAATACCCCGTCGGCGGGGGTGTTTTTGATGGTGTCGTCCTCGGCCACGATGTGCTGGCCCAGGCCATGCCGGCCAAAGATAGGGCCTACCTGAAGAGGCTCGGGGACGTCAATGTGTACGAGGGCGGGATGGACCTCCTCGTCCAAGTAAGTTCCATTGCTTTTGTTTGTTGTTTTTCTCGTCGTCCGGGTGGAGTCATTTGCCTGAGTTTTGTTTGCCTTTTTTATGCAGGGTGCCTTTATGCTCATGGAGAGCCACAAGAGGCAGTACCGGGAGATAGCTCGTCTGAAAGAGCTTGAGCAGAAAGCTGCCTCGGCCGATGAGGCGGTCGCTTGCTTGGATCGGCTCCGGGAGGATGCCAAGGCCTTGCAACAGAGGGCCGAGGAGGCCGCTGCAGCCAGGGACGATGCCCTGGCCAAACTCGAGGAGAGCCAAAGGGCGCTTGAGGCCGAGCGGCGCAAAAACGATGAAGCCGTGAAGGCAAAAGCTGAGGCCGAGGATGCCGCTGTGAAGGCCACTGATGAGGCCGTTAAGCAGTTCCTGGCCGAGGGGTGGAAGGCCGATGAGCGGCTCTCCTGGTGCTATGAGGTGGTGGCCGCTAAGCTTGAAGATTGGGGGATGAACTCCCCCGCCGGCCAGGAGTATTTTAGCAGGGAGATGGCCGTGTACTATAACATGGGCCAGGAGCGGATGCAGAGGCTCCTGTGTCGGCGGCTATCTCGTGCTCTTAAGGCCATGAATTATACTTCCGGGTGGGCTAGACGGAACTTGAAGCTTCTCGAGCTGATGAAAGATCCCGAAGAGCAGGCCAAGGTTCCTCTGTCGGAGTGGGAGTCCCCCATCGAGAGTTCCGGCCTCGGCGAGCCGGATTACACGGAGTTTGACTTCCTGGACGATGCTACCAGTTCTGCGGCTGCCGCCGGCCAGGAGACTGAGGCCGAGGAGGGAGCCGAAGATGTCGAAGAGCCAGCCGAGGATGGAGGCGCCCAAGAGGCTTGATCGGCTACTCCCCGCTCCATTGTAATTAGTTTTTTATTTTGGCCCACTTGATGTAATGGCCGAAGCGCCCACACTTGTACTGAATTGCTTATGAATGGAAATTGTGATGTCCTGCTCGGCTTTGAATTTCTTGTGTATTTATTGCCTTTTGCCATTTCAATTCTGAAATTTGTCTAAGTGTAAGAGTTACAACCTAGGTCACCCGCGAGTGTTTGCTACGTCCGTGAGGTAGTCCATCCGGTCTGGTGGCCTCGTCGGCCTGGTCGGTGTTTCTTTGCTGTCGTAACACTTAGGATTTGTCCAAAAATTTCCTAAGTGTTTTGGATCCACTTAGGTGCTT